CGGCCCCTCGTCTGGTGAGGGGGCTTCTCCTGGGCCCCACAGCTGCCCATCGGCCCCTCGTCCGGTAAGGGGGCTTCTCCTGGGCCCCACAGCTGCCCATCGGCCCCTCGTCCGGTAAGGGGGCTTCTCCTGGGCCCCACAGCTGCCCATCGGCCCCTCGTCTGGTGAGGGGGCTTCTCCTGGCCCCACAGCCACTGGGACCAGGTAGAGGGTCCTCATGAGTCAGAATTGGTGCAGAAGCAGTGGGTTTTTTGAGGGTTTCGTCTTTATTTTGGCTTTAGTGTGTCCTATAAAATTTCATCAGAATGCATTATGGTGTCTCTTGTTGTTGTAGTTTTGAGCCATCAAGTCAGAACCCACCCATAGCTGGGTCTCTAGCAGGTTTTCAGAGGCTGCGTATTGCACGGGAGGAGACTGCCCCTCTTTCTCCTGTGGTGCCGCTGGTGCCTTTGAGCTGCACGCCCTTTTAATTTTGGCATTGGCCCTGTGTCTTGTGTGGGGTCATACACAGTGTTAAATTCCCTCTTAAGAAATGTATGTACCGCTGTTGGTTCACTGCGTCCACACACTTGCCCCGGGCACCTGGCCCAGGTGTGGGGCTGGAGACATTTTAAGAGACTTTACCCCAGCAAAGGGCTTCTTCACTGGCCACAGTCTGGGTTCTTTGGTCTCTGTGAATATCAGACTCCAGGTTCTGCCCTGAGCCTCAGAATCAGTCCTTCACCAGGGCTGTTACACCACACTGAGTTTAAAATGTATGTGCCAGAAAAATCCAGTGTCCGGAGACGTGTGTGTGTCCCGGTTGAATGCCCTGCGAGGTCCTGTGTGGGCGCTTAGTGCCTTGAGATGTGAGGTTCTCTTCCCTCCAGTGTCCACGTCCGGGTCAGCGTAGAACTGAGGGTCAACATCGCCCTCCCCAGTCACCTCCAGGCTCTGCTTAAATGGCAGCAAGGCCTTGTTGCTGTTGCTGTTGCTGTTGTCATGCTGTGACGTGGACATCAGGTCAGAACAGCCCCAGCTGACCCTTCAGTGGGTTTTCAGAGGTCGTACATTGCACAGGGGTCGCCCACATTTCTCCCCTGGAGCAGCTGGTGGATTCGAACCGCCCGCCTTAGGTCGGTAGTACGACTGCTTCCCACTAAGCTGACACTATGGTTAGGTGCTGCAACTCTCTGAACAATAGATATGGACCCTGTCGCGTCCTGTGCCAACCTCATCGTCTCCGACACCCGGGAGCCCAGTGCTGTGGTTACAATGTCAATCCATCCCATCAGGGGTCTTCCTCTCCTTCACCGACCCTCCAGCTTTCTTGCTGCCCTTTTAACAGCCTTGCCCAACAACATGTCCCAAGTATGAAAGGCGAGGCTTCTCTGTTTGCCTCCAGTGAGCACTCTGGCCGCACTTTTTCCACAACTCGTCTGTTTGTTCTCGGTTCATATCTGCTGTTGTTCGGGGCCACCATGTTGGCTCTGACCCATAGTGATGCCCTGTTCAAGAGGGCAAGCCCTGCCCCACCCTGTCGCATCCTCACAAGCTCAGGCCTGCAGGGACGGCCACTGTGCCCCGTCGTCTCGAGCTCTGGCCCCTTGGGACGGCCACTGTGCAGTCCACCGTGGTGAGGGCCCCTCTGCCTTTCCCAGCATGCTGTCTTCCAAGGACTGGTCCCTCCTGGTATCAGGCCCGGAGCATGTGAGAAGGCTTGCTGGCCTTTCTTCTCGGGAGCACTGGCTGCACTTCCAGGCAGGCTGTGGGCTCGTCTGGCTGGCCGTCGGCTAGCACGGCCATGGAGGACTGGCATTCCAAGAAGGCAGCTTGTGTAACCTCCCATTTATAGTCACGATATTGACAGAAGTCCCAAGGCCTGCTGCTGACGTCCTCGGCACCGCCTGGCTCTCTGCCGAGACCTGAGCGGACAGAAGCAGCTGGACCATAGTGTGCTAGACAGGGTTCCGGGCCGGGTGTTAGGCCGGGTGCTGGACAGTGTGCCGGGCTGGGTGCCGGGCTGAGTGCTGGACAGTGTGCCGGGCCGAGTGTTAGGTCGGGTGCTGGACAGGGTGCCGGGCCGGGTGCCGTGCTGGGTGCTGGACAGTGTGCCGGGCCGGGTGCTGGACAGTGTGCCGGGCCG